TGGGTTCTGGTGGGCTGGGTTTGTGGCTCAGTGGTGGAGCCTTGCCTAGCATGTGTGATGCACTGGGTTCGATTCTCAGCATCACACATAAACATTTTATATATGCATGCATATATATATATATATATATATATATAATGTGAGTTCTAGTCTTGATCCTAACTTCCACTTTCAACCTGTGGTAAGTCACTTTTTTCTAAATGCAATTAAGGTACAAACCATGTAATGTAGAAATTTTATTATATTTGTGTTTCTTGGGTCTGAAGAAGGAAACAGGTAAAAGGGTGGGAGTCTTCTATGATAGCTCTCATAATCCCCATTCCCACCTGAACTTGTTTTGTTATTTTACTTTACTCCCCCCATATTGACGTGGATTATTGGCTATAGATCAGAGTACATTGTGCTTTTATTAGACTTTCCCTAAGATTATTAAAACTTTATTCTTTGTTAAAGTTTCTATAAATTTTTCTATTAATGTGACTTCAACTGAAGTTAAAAACTATTTCACCCAGTGTCTAACTGAAAGCCTGCTCTGAGTTAAGTTATGTCCCCCCCAAAGATATGTTGAAGTCTTAAGCCCTGACACTTGTGAATGTGATTTTATTTAGAAATAGGGTCTTTGCAGATATATTCAGGTTAAATAAGGTCATGCTGGATTAGGGTGGGTCCTAATCCAGTGCTGGTGGTGTCCTTATGAGAAGAGAAAAATTGGGGCCCAGTCGGACACCATGTGAAGACCGAGGCCAAGACCAGAGAGTTAGAGCTGCAAACCAAGGAAGCTAAGAAGCAAAGGATTGTGGGCAACGACCAGAGTCAAAAAGGCAAGCCTTCTCCCCCAAACCTTCAGAGGGAACAGTCCACTTGCTCGTGGCAGCCCTTGAACAATGATGGGATGCTTACGTAATCAGTCATATTCATATACATATATATATAGTTATTGTTCAGTTTATAGGTAATATGATCATATTATAGATATTTTTGTTATTTCTTTTTGGGGGGATACAGGTACTGGGGATTGAACTCAGGGTCTCAACCATTGAGCTACATCCCAGACATATTTTCTATTTTATTTAGAGACAGGTTTTTCACTGAGTTGCTTAGCACCTCACTTTTGCTGAGGCTGGCTTTGAACTCCCTATCCTCCTATCTCAGCCTCTTGAGCTGTCATGTACTACCGCCCCCAGCAATACATATATATATGGTTGTAGATGGGCACAATACCTTTATTTATTTATTTATTTATTTTTATGTGGTGCTGAGGATTGAACCCAGTGCCTCACATATGCTAGGCAAGTGCTCTACCACTGAGCTACAACCCCAGCTAAAATTGGGGCTCTTATGTAGTCCAAATATACTTATCTTGCTGGGCACTATGGCAGGCCTGTAATTCCAGCTGCTTGAGAGACTAAGGCAGAAGGATCACAAGTTTGAGACGGATTTGGGCAACCTAGTGAGATCCTGTTTCAAAACAAAACATACTTTTAAAGGGCTGGGAATGTAGCTTGGTGGTAGAGTTCCCCTGGGTTCAATCCCCAGTGCACAAGAAAATAAAGAAAGAAAAAGAAAAGAAATATCATCCAAATAATCCAAATATACCTATCTTCACTATTTTAGCTTCTGGTTTTTAGGGTTTGTTTGTTTGTTTGTTTTTAAAGTGATCTCCTCTGCTACATCCATGTCATTTCCTAGATTTTTCTCATAGGGTTTAAGTTATTTTTGTTTTATACATTTAAGACAAATGCTTGACTTTATCTTACTTTATTTTTCTTTTCTGATGGATGGCCTTTCCTGATTTCAACTACCCTATTATCATCTATTAAGTTCTCACATGGACTGAGATCCATTTCTGGATTCTCTATGGAATCTCACTGAATTTTTCAATCTATTCTTAGCCCAGTTACAATTTGATTTGTTAACCATGATCTCCAATATCTTTCTCAAGAATGAATTTCTCATATTCTTCTTTTGCATATTTTTTCTTGGCTATTGTTATTTGTGTTTGTTTTGCTGTATAAACATCCAGATTCAAGGTCTAGGCAAAGGTCCACATCAACCTGAGTCACAAGTCCCGGGTGGGACACCAGCTCTGCTTCCTCTTTGTTACCCCTCAAACACCAAGGGTCTTATTCTATACCACTCCATTGACAAAGACCCTGACAGTTACCGGGGTCTTGGACCTCTACAACAGAAGTCCTCCCCCTGAAAGAAGCTACTTTCTATGCCAGGAAATTGATTTAGACTCCTGGGGTGAACACAAGGACACCTCTTCCTATAGTAGCATAAAAGAAAACATACACACACTTCTAATCTCTGTCATATCATATTCAGGAAGCTGGATTTTGTCCTACAGGCATTTCGTTTGCCATTTAAAGTTTTACGTGGAAGAGTCACAAGATTGGTTTGGCACTGATGAGGGGGAAGAAACTGGAACAGAGAGGCCTAAGGAGGGTCCTACTGCAGTAGGCCAAAGATGACAGAGAGTGGAAAGTCAGGCAACTGTGTAGGCATAGAGAGGAGTGGACAGATTTGAGAAGCATTTATTTACTAGGTAGAATTGTCAGGATCAGTGACTGGTTGGATGTCGGGTTAGGTAAGAATCCAGAATGACCGGATGCCTGATTTGTAACCCAGGTATTGGGGTGGATGGTTTACAACTAAAGGACACAGGAAATGCAGGAGGAGCCTAGACTTGGATGATGATGTAGATAATACACTTAGTTTGGGACCTGTTGGATCTGAAGACCCGGAGACATTGAAGTGGAGGTTTCCAATTGACATGGAGATTACTGGGGTTTGGAGCTAAGAGAGCAAGCCTGGGCAAATGGTTCTGAGAGCCATCAGGATGCATGTGGCCGTAAAAACCACGGGAGGAGAGCTGAGGGTGGGACTCTGAGGGAAGCCGATCTTTACCAGGGGAGGAGGGATTGGCGCCAGCCAGGGGTCCTGAGAATGAGCCATTTAAGAAGCAGAAGGTTTTAACAGGGGAGAGAAGCCTTTCAAGAAGGTCAGCTGTGTCAAAGCCACTGAGAGGCCTCAGAGGTGGCTAGTGGATTTGGCAGTTGTCAAGTTCATCATGAACTCGACAGGAGCAGTTTCCTTTGAGTGGAGAGAAATGAAGTCAGATTTTAGTTGCAGAGACAAAGGCAGAGGGGGAGGGACAGTGCCAGATGTCTCTCCTTTATGCGTCCCTGGAGATTCGCACTCTACCCTTCTCCACTCTGCTCTCTGGCCCGGGCAACAGTTTCTCATGACTGTTGAGTTTGGCCAACAGCCAAACTACTGAGAGTAAGGGGGATGTATACTCCCCAGTGCCTCCCTGCTGGGTCTGGGGTCTGGGTCACCCAGAGGTCACAGCTCCCTCTCCTTGCTTCAAGTGACCCCTCCTTCTCTCCCTCCTCCTCCAGGCTTCAGGGTGGGAATAGCTCTGCTTGGATAGCACCGGGGCTCTCTCCCCACCCGTGTGTTTCTCTAGACCTGCTCACACTCTTGCGCGTGGTCTTTGGTGAAACCGTCCATGGATTATCCTAATTTGAACCCAACTCCTGCTGATACTGGCTGGTGCAGACAGGAACCTTGGCTGAGAGGTTCAGAGACAGAGAGGTACACAAAGCGAGGGAAGTTTTGTCATGGGGTTTTATTTGTTAAGCGTTGGAGAGGCTTAGGTATATTGACAAGTTCATGAAGTTCTAACAGCCAGGTCCTATTTCAAAGGCACAATCAGAGAGGAAGAAAGAGGCAGCTCCTTGTTAGCCTCTGAAGTCGGTGACATTACAAGTGGCCTCACTCCCATTGCTTCAGATATCCTAGAACTTGTGTTTCCAGTTTGCTCAAAGACAGTCCATTTGCCAGGTTTGCCCATGGCTCGTTGGCATGTATTGGTCTGGACCCACAGTCGATGGAAAAGTAGGCACAGAGATACAGAGAAGAAAGTACAAAGTTCAGGACCTCAAAAAACCGGGTGTATCTCAGTGCACCAAGGTGGTCAGAAGATAAACAAAGTGGTTGGTGTTTTTTTTAAACTTCGCAAGGCTCAGCATCATCTGGCCCTGCTCACCTTGCCAAACTTGACTTTTTCATCTCTTGTCGGTGATTTGATTGCATCTCTCTACCTCCCAAACCTTTTTAAAATTTTCTCCTATGTAATAAGCCCTGTTCTGCCCTTGAGCCTGAGTTCTGACCTGCAATTTGGCAGTTTCTTCAACTCTTACCCCGTCGAATTCCTTCTCATCCTCATATCTCTCCTAAACACCATCTCCTCAGCGGTTCTTAACCAACCAATCGCCAAGCCCGGTCTACCCTAGGTCACAGATATTTTGTGATCTGTAATCTTTCCTACTTTTTATTCCCATTGTCTCAGGTCAAGCCTTCATTACCACTTGCCTGAACTAGTAAGAAACATCCCAACGGATCTATTTCCCTGTCTCTTCTCTTTTCTCTACAATCTTTTAATTGCCACCGCAGTCTTATTTCTGAATCACAATTCTGACACTGTCTCTCTCCCTTGCTTAAAATCTTTTTTGTGCTTTCCCAGGGTTTCCCAGGGGCATGGCTCAACAAGACCTTCTCAAAGTGGCTGTAGGTAAATCCATCCTAATTAAATAATCTAAATATGGGAAAAGTTAAATACACAGTGTAGTCATTTTGTGTTAGTATAATGAAAATATCTGAGATGGGCAAACTTTATAAAGAAAGGTTTATTTAGCTCACAGTTTTGGAGGCCTGTAGTCCAAATAAGCATGGTGTAGGCTCTGGTGAGGGTCCCTTTTGACAGCACCACCTCATGGCAGGTAGCAACAATGGGGGCAAGTATGGAAGAGATCAAATCTCTAAACAGGAAGCCAAAAACCAACTGAAGTCCCACGATCACTTCTGGAGACACACCCCTAATTGACCTAAGGACTTCCTACTTGGTCTCATTTCTTTCTTTTTTTTTTTTTTTTGGTACTGGGGATTGAACTCAGAGGCACTTAACTTCTGAACCTCATCCCCAGCCCTTTTTATTTTTTATTATGACAGGGTCTCATTAAGCTGCTCAGGGCCTCACCAAGTGGCTAACACTGGCTTTGAACTTGTGCCTCTTGCCTCAGCCTCCTGTCACTGGAATTCTAGGCAAGCACCACCACACCTGGCTTGACCTCATTTCTTAAGGTTCCAACGCTTCCCAATACTACCACCCTGAGGTCTAAACCTCCAACGCACTGGTAGAGAGACTTACTGACACCATAGCACACAGTAATGCTCATGAGAACTGTATTGGCTTTCTGTTACCACTCTAACAAATTGTCACAAACTTAGTGCCTTAAAATCACTTATTATCTCAGAGTTGTGGAGGGTTAGAAGTCTGGAAGGAGTCTTGCTGTGCTAAAATCAGTGTTCAACATGACTGCTTTTCTTCCAGAGGCTCTTGGGAACAATGTGTTTCTTTGCCACGTCAGATTATAATTGAGAAAAGGAGAGGCAAAAAGGAATTCTCTTAGCTTCTAGAAGCTACTCATATTGTTGGTTCATGGCTCCTTTTCTCCATTTTCAAAGCCAGCAACCTTGGTCGGGTCCTTCTCATGACATCATCTCTTTGGTACCCTCTTTTGCCTCTTTCTTCCACTTATAAGGATCCTCATGATTACACTGGACCTTCCTGGATAATCCAAGATAATCTCCCCATCTTAAGGTCATTTGATCTACAATCTTAATTCCTCATTGCCCTGTAACTTAACACACACACACACAGGTTGTGAAAATTAGGCATGGCCACCTTTGAAGGTATATTTGATTGAAAGTAGGAAAGGAATTGAGATACACAGGAAGTAAATTAAGGCAGAAAGTTTAGAATAAAGAATGAAAATCCCTAGTCTCTTCTAAGTTACAATCTGTTGTGGTCAAAAGCCGTGTGGCTTCAGCAACTCTGGTCCCACTTGGAGCCATAGTACCAAGAGTTGAATCCCAGCCTAGTTGGACATTGAGGATGTAGGTCACTTACACCCACTTTTCTAAGCTACAGTTTCTCCCTCTGAGAAAGAACAGCAATATCTGCCTGCCTATCTCAAAGAATTGTGGTGATGATCACAAGATTTGCCGTGCTAGCCAATGCAAATACAAATCATGTTGCTTTATTATATGTAGGAGAAAATAAATGTTTGAATAGTTGAACGAATGAGCTCAGCTTGCTGATGACCTTATTTTAGTCAGAGACTAAATGTAGAAACAACTTTATTTATCTTATTTTAAGAAAAGATAATGTGGGAATGACCTCATCTTTAGGGTTTATATACAACATAACCAACATGTAGACATCAACATAAAAGAAATTCTCTTCCCTTTTGGATTGCTGACCCTTAAACTTCATGTAGGACAAAACCTTTTTTCTACCACTTGAGATTTGGCTTGAAATGTACCCTGCCTAGCAAACTTACCACTGAGACTTAAATCATTCTCAGAGCATGTTTTAGAAAGTGAGTTGAGAAAAGAGGGAACTAAAGGGGAAATATTTGCTCAGGAGAAACCCTTTGTCAGAGCTAACCATGATGACAAGCTAAGTCAAAGAAAAGTCTAAGAGATGTCATTAGATTCAATTAAAGGAAGAATTTTCCAACAACAACAAAAAGCATATTTTAGTATGAACTAAGGGAAGAATGGGAAAACGTTTTTGTCTTGTTTTTTCTTTTTTTTTTTTTCCTTTAAATTTTAAACACTAATTTGCAGTGCTTTGTTATCTGAACAGCAAAAGAGGTGAATAGTTGTGTCAATTAGAGGTGTCACCCAACATTCTGGAAGGTTATGAAAGGAGTCTTTCCTTATTTCCTCCAGTTTCCCGGCCTTTGAACTTTTGGATCGCCTTTTAACCTGACAGATAGCTGCAATGTGGACTTGAAGTCAAAAATAAAAAGTACAAACAACAAAACCCCTAAACTACATTTGAACAACAATCTGGCTTAAAAGAACACTGGAGGAGATCGCAGGGAATTTTATTGATTTCACCCCAGGTATCAAATATCTCCTAATCCGCTCTTGCTATGATCAAAATAGTCATCACAAACACCATGATGAAAAAAATCCACATGAAAAACCGGTCTATGACTTTCGCAACCTTCTTCCATTCGCTCCCCTTGGAGTTGGTGGCCTTGTGATCTTTGAGGCACTTGGCTATGTACTCGATATTTCTTGTCAGCGCTTCATACCGTGCACAGTAACCATCCGCACCCTGTGGGTTCTCACCCTGGCACCCCAGGTCATTCTTTAAGAGTTTGTTCATTTCCTTTGTTCTGGGAAGGTCTTTGTTCCTGGCTGTGTTCAGGTTGGACTCTGGGAGTTTGCCATACACCTTGGGGAGGTGGTCCCGCTCCCTGCTGTGGCGAGGGCCGAGGCAGCTCTCCCCCACGTCGTAGACAAACAAGATCCTGGACATGTACTTCAGGATGACCACCCTGGCCCAGTGAGGCACGGGCCGGGCCTCGGCCCCGCAGAAGTGGATATTCATCACCATTATGGTCAAGGCCGTGGAGGCTGTGATCAAGGCCATGGTGGCTATGTAGTATTTTCCTGGAATTAAAACAACAACAGCTAAGTCAGCTTTAACACAGTTCTCTGATTTGCTTAAAGAGAAAGAAATCAACACCTTTTCTCAGGAACTGGTCTACTCAGTGGTCACTAGTGCAGACCTCTGAATCAAATATCTTGAGTTCAAATCCCAGCTGGACTTATAACCTGCCACGCTTCAGATTCCTGCTGTGTGAAACAAGTATAAGAATAGTATCACGAGCTGGGTGTGGTGGCACACACCTGTAATTCCAGCAGCTCAGGAGGCTGAGGCAGGAGGATCGCAAGTTCAAAGCCAGCCTCAGGAAAAGCGAGGTGATAAGCAATTCAGTACATAAAATAAAAAGTAAATAAATAAAATACAAAATAGGCTGGGGATGTGGCTCAGTGGTCGAGTGCCCCTGAGTTTAATCTCCGGTAACAACAACAATAACAAAATAGTATCACGAAAATATGAGGAGGCTTAATAGAAATGATGCATGTAAACATTTTCAGCACTGTTCTTGGCTCCAAGTTAAAAGGTTTGCAAATGTGTGCAGAGATGATGATGTGAAAAACCTTGCCACTCTCAACATACAAGCAGTTTATGAACTTGAGCAAGTCTCAGGCTTGTCTTTAAACTTTGTTAATATGGAGGAGAATTACTACTGGGTAAGAAAAGAGACACCGTGTCACTATATCTGTAAAATGGGAGTATATAAAGCAAATGTACATGAAAAAGGGAAATAAAGGAAAGAAACATAAAGAGGGCGAGTTCATGAAATATAGCACAAAAAATTAAGAAGATGAACAAAACAAAGGAAAGCTTTTGGAAAGAGTAATAAACCTGGGCATGGTGATGGCGGCCTCTAGTCCCAACTACTTCAGAGACAGAGCTAGGAAGATTGCTAGCCCTGGGAGGTGGGGCTAGCCTGGGCAACATAGCCAGACCCCCTCCCAGAAAGAAAAAGATACAAAGGAGAAGAATAAAAGAATAATAAAACTGACGGATCTTTGAAATGCCCACTCACAGGATAGAGAAAGAGAGCAAGAGGAAGAGAGAATACAAAAGAGTAGAAATTCGGAAAAAATAAAATCATATTAGAAACATCTTTATGATAATGTACTTGATAATCTAGGCAAATTTCAAGAAAAAATACCAAATGTCAAAATTAGTGCAAGAAAAAAGAACACTTGAATAAAAATGGGAATGAATTATACTGCTTCTCCCCATATAGAAAAAACTCTAGGTCCAGAAGAATTTGTAAATGAGTTTTATCAAACTTTCAAGGAAAAAAAAATTTGTATCTTATGTAAGATGTTGCAGAAACAGAAAAGGAGGGATAACTTTATTCTATGAAGTCAATTTAACCTGATCTTAAAGTGATGAGAAAAGAAATATTAAGGCAATTTTGCTTAGAGACATATTTGAAGAGTTCTATATAAATATTAACTAACTGAATCCCATATTGTCTTCAGATATTAATATGTCATGAAAAGGGAGAGTGTGGTCCAGAAAACCTTGTGATGTATTTTACTCTATTAATGTGTGAAAGAGAAAACTCACGTGATTATCTTAACAGATGAAGAAAAGCATTTGATAATGTTTATAGTCCATTTATTATTTGTTAAAAATTCAGGTCAATTTAAAAGTGGAGGTAGTTTTTTTTTTTGTTTGTTTGTTTTTTAAGGTAAAGATCATGTGCCAGCTCGGTCTATTCCCTAAAGACCTAAAAAGAGCATGCTACAGGGACACTGCTACATCGATGTTCATAGCAGCACAATTCACAATAGCAAGACTGTGGAATCAACCTAGATGCCCTTCAATAGTCGAATGGATAAAAAAAAATGTGGCATTTATACACAATGGAGTATTACTCTGCATTAAAAAATGGCAAAGTCATAGAATTTGCAGGGAAATGGATGGCATTAGAGCAGATTATGCTAAGTGAAGCTAGCCAATCCCTAAAAAACAAATGCCAAATGTCTTCTTTGATATAAGGAGAGTAACTAAGAACACAGTAGGGACGAAGAGCATGAGAAAAAGATTAACATTAAACAGGGATGAGAGGTGGGAGGGAAAGGGAGAGAGAAGGGAAATTGCATGGAAATGGAAGGAGACCCTCAGGGTTATACAAAAGTACATACAAGAGGAAGTGAGGGGAAAGGGAAAAATAATACAAGGGGGAGAAATGAATGACAGTAGAGGGGGTAGAGAGAGAAGAGGGGAGGGGAGGGGAGAGGAGGGGAGGGGGGATAGTAGAGGATAGGAAAGGCAGCAGAATACAACAGACACTAGTATGGCAATATATAAATCAATGGATGTGTAACTGATGTGATTCTGCAATCTGTATATGGGGTAAAAATGGGAGTTCATAACCCACTTGAATCAAAGTGTGAAATATGATATATCAAGAACTATGTAATGTTTTGAACAACCAACAATAAAAATTTTAAAAAAAGTAAAAAAAAAAAAAAAAAGATCATGTGCCAGAAACACACACACCAAATACTGTATACTTAATGTGGAAAACTTAAACATGTTTCTGTAAGATTGGGCACACATTTCCTAAGTGCTACTAATAACAAATTGTGACTGTTAATCTTCTCAAGAACTGTGTATACACTTCCTGAAAAAAAATTCATGCCATCATAGAAACAAAACAAGTGATGCTTGCAAAATTCTAGAGAGTCATCTCTCTTTAGAAATTGTGCCAACTAGATGTTCAACGTCAAGGCTAAAGAAGAGAGGATCTGCCAATAGATCTGCTTCAAACTGTTATGATTGGCTGTCATTACTGTAAATCATTTCTTCCTCAGGAGAGGTAATAACAATGCCAATGTCTCTCTTGCTTTTTATTACTGGAGAGGCAAACTTAGTGTGTTTATTTCTCAAAAAGGTAGGGGTGTGTGTATGTGTATGTGTGTGTGTGTGTGTGTGTAGGTGTTGCTAGAAGAGAAATGAAAAGGAAGAAATCTCCAAAGAAACCAATTCCATACTGGATTAGTTAGAGAGGATTCCATAGAGAGGAAACTGGATTCCACAGAGAAGAAAAGATCATTCAGCCTCCCTTTGAACCAAAGGACTCTAAATATCTTGGGAGATCTCAAATTTTTCCTCATTGCTTATTTTAAAGAACTAAAAATTAGATCTAGGTTTTTATTCTGGTAAGTATCTATTCCGACAGCAAGTTTTGGAGATGGAGGCATTGACTCTCGGGGACATCCCCAGTGGAGGAAGTAGGTGTTAATGGTGACAGGAGAGATATCAGACCAAGGTAGGTAAAGGAGCAGGGAGATGAGGATGATCGCCTCATCCTGTATTCACCCTTGGAGAAACATTTCACCACTGCAGAGTTTTGAAAATGTGGTCTGCTTTAGAATGAGCTTCATTCAATTCCCAAACGTTGGTCAAAATTGTTAAACCAAACTCCTTCAGTTTAGGAAGCTGCATTTTAATAAGTTCTTCCACTGCTCTTATACCCAGTAAATGTGAAGAACTATCTCATTAAGCCTGGATGTCAGGCTTAGAATTCCAGCTCAGCTTTCTATCATGATTCCCAGTCTTCCCCGGAGGAAAACCCTCATAATGTGAAAAGATAATAAAAGTCACTGTTAACTCAATACTTGCCTTATGCCAGGCTCTGCACCAAGCATTTTCTCAGGAGGTTGCAATTATATAAATGTTGCAGATGGTGAAGCAGAGATTTACAGATGAAGTAACTTGCCCAAGGTTAATCTAGGAGTCACTGGTAAAGTGAGTGTTCAAATTCAGGCTTCTTTGGCTTCAAAATCTGAGCCTTACCTTCTGAGTCAATGGTTTTCAGACTTGCACGGAAAGTGCATCAGAATCACCTGGAAGGCTTGTTTAAACAGATTGCCAGGCTTTACTTCCAGAATTTCTAATTCAGTAGGTCCAATGTGGGCCCTGAGAATTTATATCTGTAAGTGCCCAGGTGATACTGAGGCGGCGTGTCTCGGGACCACCACTTTGAGAACCACTGCTCTAAACCATAAAGCATCTTGTTGTCCAAAAGACCAGTTTTGTTCCAATAGCCCCATCTAAGATACCAACTGCAGACCCTCAGTGAACCATGCAACAGCCTATATTAAGACTTAAGTTGGCCCAAATGTTACAATTTCAAGGCAGATACACAACTTCTGGTCACTACCAAGCGAGACTCAAAGACACTTGAACTCACCTATCAGAGGGACATTTTCTGAGGCTGGCATGATCTCTGCCACCATGAGCTGAAACACAGTCATGGCCAATAGGATGGTCACTCCCAGGGAGACCTTCTCCCCAGAGGCTGCTGGAAGATAAAAACTCAAGGGAGCGAGAAAAGATATGAGGACACAAGGGACGAGGAGGTTGACTATATAGAATGAGGACCTCCTCTTCAGAAGGAGGGTGAAGGTCACATCTGGGTAAGGCTCAGAGCAGCAGCCGTAGGAGATCACGTTCTTCACGGCAGGCATGCCATTGACCTCCCATTCCACATCTTCGACGAAATCCGAGAGATCTCCACTGTCCAGAGCGTTGAATATGTCCACCTGATTGCCATTGTAGGTCCAGGAACCAAAAGTCAGGTTGCACTGCTGGTTATCAAAGGGGAAGTAGGTGACATCCACCACACAGGAACTTTTGGTGATGGCTGGTGAATCCCAGGTGATGAGTCCATCGTACCGCAGGACCACATTGGTATTTACCGGCTCTGAAGACTCGTCATCAGCCCTGGAGGTCAGATGAGGACAATGACTGTCTCTTCCTAAGAGAACTCAACTGCCTTACCCAAGATATTTCACTGCCTTGTGCCGGGCACTTCAATGTCCTTGGCAATGGATTGACTTTCTACCTGATATCCTGGCTTGAGAGTTTGGATTCACCTCTAATGTGCCCTTCTCTCCCATCTCCATTGACACACCAGGACTAGGTTCTCTTGGAGTTTTCCTTTAAAACACCTCTGCTCTATGTTCCTTCCATCTATATTCCCAGTCCTACTCCCTTGGTCCAGGTCAATGATTTGAACATCCAGACAAAAATTAGCCTGTTGAGACTAAAATCTGCTTACCTGATTTTGTTCACATAGGCCCCAGAACATTAAAAATAGCTTTTTGTTGTTGTTGTAAGCGTTGTATATTTGTATTTAGAAAACACAGGGAAAAACAATCATTCATCCATAATCTTAGAGATAATCACTTATCAGGTTATATCTTCCTTTGCATTATCAAAATCTATGCCTTACATTTTTGAGTATAGAAATTCTATTTTCCTTTAGAAAAAATTACTCTTTCTCCACTGCCATTGCAAAGGCAGAGGAACCATTTGCATGAACTCATGAGCACATAACTGGCTTCTCTAACACGGGGCACTAGGATCGCTTGACTTAGGATTTTGCCTGAGCTTGCAAGGAAGCATTTCAGTAAGAGCTGGTCACTGCCTTGGCCAAGCAAAGCAAGCCAGAGGAGAGAACCAGCATTCTGTTTGTTTTCCAAGGAAAATTGTTAGAACTTACAGAATGCCATCAGAAATCATCTAAGCCAATTGTATTCTCAAGGGTGAACTGGAGTAATAAGGCACCAGTTACGTTCTTGAATGTTATGTTGCTTGGAAGGACTATGGAAAATCCCCCTGGTCACTCAGAGTGGGGAATGGACAGCAGGATTGGGGCTATGATTCAGGAGATGGTGGTCCTCGGATGAGCTCTCTGAGTAAGAAGTGACACTTGAATCCAACTGCTTCTTACTAGTCTTGCTTCCTTAAGGGAAATTTGTGTTCAGTAGATGCTCCACCCAGGGAAGAATCCTGTCCCAAACTACCTCTCATTCACATTGTTCTGAGCAACAAAAGAACCTTTCTCAACCCACAGAAACTTGTTTTCAAAATAGAGAGGGGGGTGGGGGGAGAGAGAGAGAGAGGTTCCCTCAAAAAAAGGTGAAAAAACTGAGCTTAGATTGTGACAGAGATCTCTGGTTCCCTCTCATAGTGTGGCCTGTGGATTGGCAGTACCAACACTATCCGGAACTTGTAGAAAGGAAGAACACAGGCCCACCCGCCGAATCTGAATCTGTATTTTGACAAGATTCCTAGGTAATTTGTGTGCACTTTATAGTTGAAGAACATAATTCTTACCTACTTATTTACCGAAGGCCCCTTGCTCCAAGAGTGGAAAAGAGTCAACTGTCCTATAAGCCTGTTAACAGAGTCCAAAATCCATAGTCCATCTTCTAGATGGACCATTCTAGTTTCATTTTAGTAGGATCATTGTTATTGACATATAATCATGAACAGTGAATGCTGCTGTTCCATAAATTGTATCCCCAGAAAATTCGTATTTTGAAATCCTAATAGCCCCACATCTCAGAATGGGATTTTATTTAAGATTGGGATCATTGTGGGCTGGGGTGGTGGCTCAGTGGCAGAGCGCTTGCCTTGCACATGTGAGGCACTGGGTTCGATCCTCAGCACCACATAAAAACAAATAAACAAAATAAAAAGATATTTGTGTCCATGTATAGCTAAAAAATGTTTAAAAAAAAAAAAGATTGGGATCATTGTAATCCCATCATTATGTATAACTATAATGAACCAATATAAAATGTGGAAAGAGGAAAAAAAGATTAGGCTCATTGTAGATATAATTAGTTAAGATGAGATTAACTTATACAATAGGGTGGGCATCGAAGCCAAGATCCCTGGTCTCCTTATAAAATGGGAATTTTAGGCCCAGGTAGCAGAAGGAGAGCTTCAAGTGAAGATGAAGACAGAGTTCAGGGTGTTGCTTCTACAATTCAAGGAATGTTGAAGATGTCAAGAAACCACCAGAAGCCAGAGGACAGGCTTGAACACACTACTCCTCACAACCCTCAGAGGGCGCCAACTCTTGATTTCACATTTCCAGCCTCCAGAACTGCAAGATCACGAATTTTTGTTCTCTAGGTCACCCAACGAGTGCTATTTTGTTACAGCAGCTCTAGCAAACTAATGCAGCTTCCAATTTCTCACCTGAAAAAGGAGACTATAGATGGAATTTGATGGTTTCCTTCCAGCTCTGAGCTTCTATGACCTATTATTTTACTATTTGAGCTTTCATGACCATTATTTTAAGGTCTAAGAACACGGATTAATCCTTAAATTCATGCATGTTTTAAAAATTCCTTTTTCATTATGTATAGGTTCTATTAAATCAACAGGTTCATTCCAGGAAAACCTGGACTTGTACTTACTTGTTATAAAGAACAATGTCTGGCCTCCACACCAGGTCACTGGGAATCCTGATGGAGTCCAGCCCATCATACTGGTCTCGATCCCACGTGAGATACGCATCGTGCCAGATTTGGCGGATCCATAGATAGGCGGTCAGAATTTGGTTTCTTTCATCCTACACAATGAATCTAAATGTCACTTTATCTGATTGACACTTCAACCAAATGCATTTCATCTTCAGGAAACTTACTCTTCACAATTAATAAGTGAGATTTTCAATTAGTAAGTGATAACTTTTTAATTCTATCCTTTTGATGGACTACCAAGGCCATTTTTTCCTTCTCGATTTAGTGTCTCAAATGCAAAGTGAATAGATATTTAAGTCTTTGGATTTTTGCATGGATCGACTGCTTGATTTTCAATAAAAAGGGATCAACTAATAGAGGGAGGAAGAAATATTTACCATGAACAGAGGAAAAATCCTTATATGTGCACTAAAGCTATGAGATGACATAGCTTACAATGTCAGCTTACTTTTGTTAATATTGAGATTAAACTCACAAAACACCAAAATTATCTTAACCATTTTAGAAGTGTACAGTTCAGTGGCTTCCAGTACATTCTCAAGGTTGTACAACCCTCACCACTGTCTAATCCAAGAGCATTCTCATCTCCCCCCAGGAAATCCCATAACCACTGAGCAGTCTCCCACTTCCTTCCCACCAGCTCCTGGCAACCAGTCTGCTTTCTCTCTCGCTGGATTTACCTACTTTGGAAATGTCGTATAAGTGGAATCATACAAAACATAACCCCAGCTTTCTTTATAGGATCTAAGACTGTTAAGTTTCATGACCAGAGCTGTAGGTCACAGTAACATTAATGAACATTGGGTAACATTTAGTGAAACAGTTTTTTAGAAATCTTCCCTCCACTGTCATTCTATTCTCCTGCCAGCTTGTACACAGGACTCTGCTTCATTCCCTCTCAAGTTCCCCCTTAAGACCTTCTCTTCAGGAAACATGCTTTCTTTCATCCTGAGACCCTTTCCAAACGTCACAACTATCCGTTACTCACCATATCCTTAATCTGAGAAAGGGTAATCTGCAGCGTGACATTCAGGACTTTATCTGTGTCTTCTACTGGACGAAGAGCATTGGAATAATCTTCAAAAAGGTCATTAAACAACTTCTGAGCATATTTTCCATCTGCTGTTTCTACAGCTGCTCAGAAAGAGAGAACGGTATCAACACTCAGGGTACTGTGTGTACTTAAGACAAAGAATACCAGGCTGAGGTCTAAAATGGGGGATGGCCCAACTTTGGCTAGAGAAAAGCTCTAGGTAGACGGATGGTTGTTTTTCTGGCCTGTCCTACCCAGATCAGCACGAGTCAGTGGGGAGTACAGACACTTCCTGCAGCTAGATCAGTTCTCCTGTCTTTCTTGCCCCGGCCCCAACTTCCTGCCAAGGAATGACCCCAGAAAAATACAGATGGTTACACACCACCAGCCTCTCACCTCTCAGTCTGGAAGCAGCAAAATAAATCCAGCAAAAGGAGATGCAAGAATGGGGCCAGATCATCATTTTTCTGATCTCCTAAAATGTCCTGGCCAGGCAGTGTGGGCTTTTACTTCCCTCTGTGAAGGGAAAGGGACTGGACTCAAGAGCCTGCACTGCCCCAGTCTCACCTGGCAGATGGAGAGCACAGGTTTGCATTGCACGTAGGACCAATATCTTCACATCCAGACCCACCAGCCCTCCCTTCTGGTAATAGGAGACTGGCAGCTCTAGTAGCTGAGATGCCGGGAGCTCAGGGTGTGTTAGGCAGCGCTGTTCTGGAAAAGCCACCCCAGTGCAGGGTCCCTAGCTACCCTCAGCAGGAACTCCACCTAGACCAAAGAAAAGAACTGAAGCTGGAGTCAAGGGCATGCCTGACCCCCTAGAATGGGAGAACAGGAAGCAGAATGGAGATTTCCACACCTGCAGCAAGCAGACTCTGCCTGCAGGGTCTAAGGGGAACTGAACAACAGATGCAGTCATCCAGAGAGGCCCCTGGTGCTTCTAGAAGCATCTGAAGGGGGAAGGAGAAGCAGCTCTGTGATCTCTTGAACAGATTGGCATTCTGGGTTCTTCACCACCTCTGCCTATGATCACTTCTTCAGTTGTCCCACTGGGTTTGGATTTCACATAGTAAATGTGTGAGTATTGGTGTGAGGGGGTATTGTATCAGAGAACAGCATTTATTTCCTGAAAAAGCAGCAACATTGTAAATTGGATTTGGAGTTGAACGCTGGGTATGACTGCCAGCCCAGACCCTTAGGAGCTCCATAATTCTGGATGAGTTACCTAGACTCTGAGTGCTCCCAAACTACAGACTAGGGAAAATGATATTCTCTCTTCCCCAGAGCTACCAATGTACTGTACATGGAGGCACATTGTAAATTGGAAAGCATTATGTAGGTGCTAATGATTTGCACCTCTGATCAGCTTTGCAGATCCAGAATTTCTACATTTACCAAGTCATCAAGGGTTTGTGGGCTCTTTAAATTTAATTAAAAAAAAAAAAAGATGATTCAAAGGCTAACCAAATCAGCATGAGAACAATTCCTAACCAGCGATGATGTTACTAAGGACGCTATGCTCCCCCTTTGCATTTGAATGCTACTTTGTATAATTTCACAGTCATTTCTCATATGTGATCCAATTTTGCTCCCACAAAAGAATGTCGATTTCCAATTGCTAATGAAGTCTGGGCTCTCATGTCTGTCTCTCGTCTTGCCTGGGGAAACTGCCTTGGAAACCAAATTAAGATAATTTGGTTGCCTGGAATCAGAGCGAGGAAATTGGATAGCTCTATTTCATCGAGTTACAGCCATCTGATGAGTCACCCGCTCCTCTTCAGGAACATATCCTCCGCACGGAAGGGTCATCCAAGCCGTCAGCTAAGTGTGTTTCTTAATTGCCTGCCCCCTCATGTTCGCTGTGAAGGCTGTTTTCCTCACATGACAGTCTGACTCACCATCCAATGACCCAAGTCCTGGGGCCCAGGCTCGGGCTTCCTTCAACCTCCGGCTCTGATCTCCAAAGCTGAGTGTGCTTTTGGAATTGATTTAACACCTTGTTCTCCCAGGAGGAAACTGAGATGCAGGGATGCAGAGTGGCTTGCCTCTAGCAGCAGATGGCAGTGACAGAGTCAAGACCACCTGCCCCACTCTACTGTGCTTACAACACGTACACGCCTCTCCTTCTTCTCGGTGTCTTTCCTCAACGTGGCGTCAGATGCCGGGGTGGGGGGGTGGGGGGGGTGGTGGTGACTTGCTTGCAGGCTGAGACTCTCTGCCTTATGTTTCTTTTATTCTTCACGACACCCAGGGCAGCCCCTGGTAATAGGTGCTCAGTGAACACTCTGCTGGCTGCTGCGGTTGCTGTTATAAAGCTGCCTCTCAGGTAAAGGTCCCGGTGGGCTTCCATGACATCTGGTTAATTCAGTGCCTTTGGTTGGTCACTTACAAGGTTTTTTTTGGTACCAGGGAGTGAAATCAGGGGCACTCAACCACTGAGCCACATCCCCAGCCCTATTTTGTATTTTATTTAGAAACAGGGTCTCATTGAGTTGCTTAGCTCCTCACTGAGGATGGCTTTGAACTTGGGGTCCTCCTGCCTCAGCCTCCTGGGCCGCTGGGATTACAGGTGTGCCCCACCGAGCCCGCCTTTTTTTTTTTTTAAATAATGATGAAAATCGATGGTCACCTCTCAGTGTTTAACATGAACCAAATTAAACAAATGCTTTTCTTTGCCTTTTGAAGCCAAAATGCTAATGAATAGGAAGCAAACTCCTCTCAAATTCATTCTAAAAATGACTACTGAATGTTTTTACAGGAGCCTCTCATCCTCCACCCAAACTGTATCTCTCCATCAGCTCCAAGCCAAATCCCCACCCCAGCCCCCAAAAAGAAACCCTGCAATATGGTGGTCCCATAGCTTCCAGAATGATACATGGAAGATAAAATGACTTGAATCCACTATTTGGGGTTCAATAAGACCAAAAAGTTGGCACATTTCCTTAGACTGTTTTTCTTTAGATACATATATATAAAGGGGAGATGAACAGAGGGCAGATGGGAAGGACAGATATCTTCATTCTGCCACAGGTATATTTTGTAACAAAAATTACAAGAGTCAAACATCATGTTTTGTAAAGTGTTCTTTCCCCCAGAAATTACTGACTTTAATATTTTCTCCATGTTGTTAAACAGAATCAGAACATGGCCAAAACCCGAAGAGCTCCTAGAGGCCAGCTACCTCAGCTCACTCACTTCACAGATGAAAAAACTGAGACCACAGAGGTCAAGTGCTCTCCCAAGCAGGCCTGGTTATCCAGGGATGGAACCCAATGTCTATATGTCACATAGTGCTCCCTCCATCAACAGGGCCACCAAGGGTAGGTGGGACCCCAATCTGCCCCACAGGAAGGAGTGGATGGAAAAGGATGTTAACCTGGCATGGTGCCAGCAACCCTCAGCCTTTGGAGCCAAGATCTTGTCAGAGGAGGCTATTCTGGGTGCTCAGTGACACCCCACCTGCTCACCCATGAGGCACAACTTATTGAGCTCACAGGAGGTGCCCTGATGGGCCTCCATGCCTGAGACCATTTCACTGCTACTCCCTACATTTGCTGGATTCCTCTTGGTCATATGTCTTACACATACACACACACACACACACACACACACACACACTTACCAATTTTCTTTAAAGGAGAGGTCTCCAAATTATTTCACCATGCACCAATGTTTGGAATGAGGGTCAATAGCTTAGATACAAAGTTATGCAAAGTGTTGCTCACTAAGGCCTCATATTCGCAACATATTGGATTTTATGTCTGCCCTTGCTTTCAAGAAAAGCAGCACAATACATAGTTTGAGAGCACGGAACTCTGTAGTCAAAACTGCTTGGATTCAAGTCCAGCCCCACTACTTACTAGCTGTGGAACTCTGAATAGATTACTTAACCTCTCTGTGCCTCAGTTCCTATATCTATAAAATGGGGGTGATTTATAAGAGTGACTACCGCTTAGGGTTGTTTTGAGGAATAAATGAATTCATCTATGTGAAACCCTACCATAAAAGTGCTAAATACATAATAATTGACAGGAAAAAGAGCATGTTACCTGTAGCCACAATTCCACCATTTATCTTTCTCCCTCTCTCCCTCTCCCCACTTCCCACACGTCTCCCTTCTTCCCCCCATCCTATGTCCCCACCACGCCACCATGCCCCACAACTTCTCAACAGACCTAGGAAGAGAATACTGGTTTTATCTGACAAACAGCTTGTACTGCAGGTGGGAGAATATCAGTTCTGCCATTTTTTTGTCCTTTTTTTTTTTTTTTTTTTTAAATTGCAGTGGTAACATCCTCGTCAATCCACAGTGGATTTATTTATTTACTTACCTATTTTTGTAGCAGTCTTTTTAGTCCTGTGATGCTCTACATGAGAGTTATCCGATCTAAATCTGTCACAGAGATTGGCAGACTCTTTCTGTGAAGAACTAGATAGTAAATATTTTCAGCTTTGCAGGCCATATGGTTGCTGTAACAGCCACCCTCCCTTGGACTGTGGGAGCAGCCATAGGCAAGATGAATGAGCACGGCTGTGTTCCAATAAAACTTTATTTACAAAAATAGCTGGTAGGTCATCTGTGGACCCATGGGCAGATGCATAGCAGGACGAAGGCTGACCCCGAGTGAACTCAGCCAGTTAGGTCTGTCTTCCCCACGGGCTGGTATGCACCAAAGGAGTCTTTCTAATGAAGAGCCAGAATACAATGGGACTGAAGAGCACACAGCAGCCCTGTTTGAAGTCTGGAGCCTGAACGAGCCTCCTCCCTCCCACAAAATGACCATTAGAGCATCACGGGCAAGGAATTACAATCTCCCCCAAATGTGGCTACGGCCAGGCCAGGGAATGTCTGTGGTGAGGATCGGGGAAGTGTGTCAGAACACTCAGCCCCATGAGTCCCACCCAGGAGCCGGGGGGTGGGGTGCTAGCCCTTTCCCTCACAGGTGAGAGTCCCAGAGCACTGCTTCATTTCTAGGGTTGTGACCTTTATCCCCCAGCTGTACCCAAATGCATTTGTCTGGGGAAATACAGATTAAATCAGAACAAAAGGGATTCAGAAAGAGAGAAGGGAGGGTCTCCTGGGGAAACAAACAGTGGCGCCATATCTCACTGTGCTCTGGGCCCCAAAAAGGGTCTGAGCTT